CAAAATTTTATATCAGATTGGAGACGGTTAAGACGTGTCGCACAGGGGGCAAAGTTCAGATTCCTCTATGGAGACTCAAAAATTAAAATTAATATTTTTTTCATCTAATACCCAAAATCGATGCTAACATTGTTGAAGATATTGGGACCAAAAACTATATGTGATATCTTCGACTATGGTAATATCGACGTTGGGTATTAGATGAAAAAAATAATTAATTAACCGTCTCCAATCGGGACCAAAATTTATATGTGATATTTATGACAGTGGTGTTACCGATTGAAGGGGTGAGACTGAAAAAATCGTTCATTCGATTTTTAGGGACCACCCTTATGTGCATACATATAGTCATATGAAAAATAATTGCGACACGGAATTTTGACCATTTTGAATTTTTTTTTTTTTTGTTGTGAATTTGTCTAACAAAAGCCATATAACCGTTTAAACACAATACCAACGAACCGCGAATTTTCGCACAGTAGTGCGACGACGGCGGCAACTTTCGCCCAAAAATTTCTCTCAGTAAAACACAACTACGGCGACAACGAATTCAGCTGCTTATGACAAGGTACAATTAAAATTTTTACAAACAATAAGATTATTAATTTTTAACAAAAACCAATACAGTATTTTGCAATTTCGATTTAAAAACTTGAGAACATTTAGCATATGGCCACAATGGATCGTATTTTGCCGCTGCCGCCAGCGACGACAATAGAAATAAGTCTATCGTTGCGAACAGCCGTCGGACGAACGTCGTCGTTTGCTTTGGTTGTGTGCGTTCTCATATACATTACATATTACAGCGAACATTCGCAACGAAAAATTCGCCGTTCGTCGGCATTGTGTTTCAGCGGTAAGTCCGAATTTTAAACTTTAAGAAAAATTTTTAGTATGCAGTTTTATGGTCCATTGAATTCTTAGCTTAATAAAGTGAAAGTTCCAAGTGGCTAAGAATTCGCGTTGAGTTGTGAAACTTTTTTTTGCTAACGGTGTCAGCCATTTTCTTCTACACAAAATACAGTGGCGAGAATGTAAATAGCAAGACTTTTTGCAAGTTTTGACTATATTTCTTTATTTAAAAGATTTTTTGTATTTTTTTATTAAAATGTACTTGCTATTTAAAAAAATTCTATCAACTTTAACAAATATTCATCAAAATTTTAATCAGTTTTTTTAGAATTTTTCGGAGCATGCAGTTTTGTAGCCCAATTTTAGTATAATAAAGTGCTAGTTTGGACTAGCTTGAGCTTCCCGTTATTTTTGGCAATTTTTTGATCATGCATTTTCTCCAAACAAAGTATGTTCGACAATGGAGAGAATGAGCAACACCTTCCACAAAAAAAATCCCAAAACTCAAAGTCCTAGCTACTTTAAATTATCACTTTATTATATGTACTAAAATTGAACACGCTACAAAACTGCATACTCAGAATGTTTTTAAGAAATCTAGTTAAACATCTCATAATTTTGATGAAACTTTGTCGAATTTGGTTAACTTTTGTACAAAGCTCATAAAAAAAATAATAAACATTAAAAAAAGGAAAGGGAAATAGCCAAAGGGTGCTTAAATGGCTCTTCCCTATTTATATTTTCGCCATTGCATGTTTTTATCTAAAAATTCTTAGTAAAAAGTTTTTTGTTGCAAAATGTTAAATTTTTCTAATTCTTCTACAAAGTCTGAAATTGGACTTATGTAGTTTTTGTTAGGTCATGAGCTGTATTTTGATAAAAAAATAATAATAATAAACATTAAACAAACAAAAGAAAAACTGTCTTTACTGGTCAATATGTCATGACTGTATATAGTATATCCTATAAGGAATAATAAGGAATATTTCCATGCCTGTGAATGTTCATGCACGCATATGTAAAATGTACCATTAAACCTTATCCCTTTAAAGTACAATAAGTAAAAAAAGAAAGAGTACGCGATTGTGTAGGCCTAAATTAGCACAGCAATAACAACGGCAATGCCAGCTAAATGAGGCTGGGTGAGTGTTGCTGCAGGCTAGCTTTCGTTGGAATTGTAAATTGTCCGTACATACATATGTACATTAGACTGCATCAACTAAAAAAGTTGCGGTTTTTCCGCCGGGATTATAAAATTTATTATATTTGAACACGTCCACCAAAATATTTCGGAACAATATTAAGATTTACGAGAGCTGGACCGATATGAAAATACCTCCGAAATGGAGTTTTTTATTAATAAAAATAATTTCTTAAGGAACATTTTGAGATTAAACTCCCCTCAGGTGTCAAAACAGATTAAGCTTAAAAGAGCTGCATAAAAAATATTTTCAACGGAATCGTAATAATGAGATTTTGGTGCTGTTTTTAACCTTAAAAAATCGATCAAAAAGAGGTGCAACTTTTGACGTACCAAACTCCCCCAAGAAAGGTTCCTTTGGTCATAAAAACGTGACCTACGAAAATTTGATTAAATCGGGTAACGGAAAGAGTGCCTCAAAGGCCCTAAAGTTCATGGAATTTTTCACAAAGCGGTGAATATTTTGCCTGTAAGTCAGTGTGGAATTTAATATCTTTTAATGACACTTGTTGGAGTTTTGTCCCTCGATGTCAAAAATAGCTAAAGTATTTTTAAACCTACCCATCTTTTAAAGCTATTGAGGTCTCTTTAGGAAAAAGCCGTGAGGCCTTTTAAAAAATTCAACATAGCGTCTCAAATATGGTATCTAAACTAAACGTAAATTAGATGTTTACTTTACAAATATTCTGCCACCGGAGAGCCCAATACTAGAAGAGAAAAGTTGCTAGGACTTTGGCTTTTGAATATGCCAAGCATTTTTTTGATAATTATTTACAATAAAAAATTATTTTTTTAAAAGGCCTGTATATAAAAAAATATGGGAAATTTAATTCCCTATAAATTTGTATACACAACGTTTTTTTATGAAAAAATGCAAAATAAGCTTGCAAACCGCAAAAACCCAAAAAAATATAAAATGCAAGATAGTTGAATTTTCAGGTATGGAGCGAGACTGTGGATCCATGATCTACGTGTCAAATAGAAGAAAACTGCATCAAAAGTTCGCTACTACACATTTTTTTTTTCGTACCAATCTGATCGAAATTTACCTGGCTAAAATTTAGCTTCTGAATTCCTAGAAAATTGTAATTTTACGTGAAAAAAAAACCTCAAATAACTTTAAAAGTTGGGGAGGTTTAAAAGTAGGTTAGCCCTATTTGACATTGGAGGGTATATAAAAAAATATCAAGTGCCATTAAAATATATTGGCGCATATTCATAGTCAACTAAATAGTGAACTAAATACACAACTAAGTCGAAACTATCGTAAATTTCAACTAAAGCTATTCATAGTCGCCTTAGTTTCGACTTTTCTGGCTAAGTACTAACTGAATGTTTAGTTTCGGCTGCAGCTGCAATTGAGTCGTAACTAGGAAGAAGTAATAAATTGAGGAAAAAAGACGAAATATGTTAAAATTAAGTTGGCTGAGCGTGATTTTGATAATACTGAATGATCTCCAATTGAAATTTACAAAGAGCGATCCATTTGAATAGGTAGATGAAATTAAATGCGTATTACAATTCGAATAAGGCTACATCACAATTTTATAATTGGAATGATTTACATATATAAATGCTCAAATAATAAGTCAATTTCAAACTTGTTCTTTTAAAGCAAATTATGGCATAAAATTTAGATATGTGTTTGTATGTTTCACAGCATGCTTTCGATAAACATCGACTTCACATCATTGCGGTAGTTCTGGCTATTTCACACAATTAACAAGAAACTTATACCTTATTCTTTTGCATAAACATGCAATAAAAGTAAAAATTACATAAACGGATGATCAAACTTGACATTATTTAATAAAAATGTCATTTCGATACATTTTCACACTCGTTTTGCAATATCGTAAAACTAAGTTAAAACTACTTAGTAGAAGTCTAAAATGCGACTATGAATAGAAGTGAATTTTAACTTAGTACTTAAATTTAAGTTGCAACTTTATTAGTTTCGACTTAGCGGCTGGACTATGAATACGCGCCATTAAGTTTCTTACTGATTTATAGGCCATTTTGACCGCTTTGCGAAAAATTTCATGAAAATTCTGAACTTTAGGACACGTCTTTTCGTTGTCCGATTTAAAAAATTTTTCGCAGGGCAAGTTTTTATGACCAAAGGAACATTTTTAGGTGGAGTATTGCTTTGTATGTTAATAAAAAAATGTTTCCATACAACTAAGGCGTAGGTTAATGTACAGGCATGGAAAGAGAACGAGCACACAATGGGCTAGCATTTTTCAATATTCATCACAATCTGGATGTTAATTTTGACTCAGTATTAAAAAAATTTGTATCTATACCTCGGTTAATTGCATGTGACTCTTCTTTAAGTTTTTCTAAATTATATCCACAATTGAATACAATGCCGGCCGGCGCTGGTATCTGTGAACAAACTTTTTCGTATAACGACGAAGAAATTTTACTGCAACCCGACGGATGGCACTATACAACTGAATAGCAATACCGATATATGAGTATTTCCAAACTGGCGTTACGTGGCACTCGTATGACAAAATGTTAAACAAAATTAAAAAGTATAAATTTTAAAAAGGTTTTTACTAGATTTGCATAGCAATTAAATAGCCCCTTATTCAGTAAAAAAAAATGCAACTGTTGGAAGTAAGGATTTAAAAATATAGATAAACATACGCGCTGGCGTCACGTTACAAAAACCAGAAGCGGATATTGACTTCGATTACAAAATTGCAAAACTCTGCGAATTGGGCAAGACTATTTGTATAGTAGTTTATTTCCAAGTTTTTAAATCTTTTCTGCTTTTCTGACGTGACGTTACCTGGCGTTACGTTACTAAAATTTCCATTGAAAAAATTTGTTAATATTGTTCTTGAAAGAATTTTTTAAGGGAAGAAAACATGCATTTTATGTCGAACGTACTTTTTATTTTAACATCATTGCCACCAGCGGTTCCATTTTTTGCAAATCTATGTATTTTTATTATTATTATCAACTAAACATGCCAACTGTGAAATAAATCAGAGCATAAATACGGGTTTTCAAAATACCTGGATCAAAGCAGTCAAATCGGCCAGTTAGTAAGTAAATTAGATATAGGACTTTAAGGTTTTTTTACCCGGTAGACTTTTCGCTGGATTCGCCCTTACATGCGTATGTATGTCAAAAACAAACAAAAAAAAACAAAAAAGTATGTTGACTTATTAACAATTTTTGTTGGGGTAGTCGAAAACTACTTGCAGAACAAACGGTTCATAGGACATTATGCGAAAATCACAAACAGCGGCGAAATTTTTGGTAACAGTTTAATCGCGGATTAGACATCTTAGTTGTTCAACAAAATTGCTTCCTATAGGTTAATCAATACAAACATATTTTAGAAAGATAATACCACTACTTCTAGGTCAATTTTAGTTTCGTGTGTTGTTTGTTCTAGAAATCACTTCTTTGCATAATTCTAAAAGTTCCATTCAACAAAATATTTAGTTACAGTTAAATGATTCTCATCGATATTCGCTCGCATTCCATTTATTAAATGCATATGTATGTATGTATTTTATATAGTTTAGTTATTCAAACATTTTCACTTATTTATGTAATTTGCTTGGAAAAATCAATTGGCTTTTATGTGCACTGATAAGTTTAACATTAGGTGCATTCTTTTGCAACCGAGCTACAAAAACTACACTCGCTTAAATGACGCAGTACATGCAAAGCAACAACACAAACTCGGCTACTTATCCGAGTTTAGCAAGGTCAGTTAAAAAATACGCGAGCTCAAGGGTAGTGTTGGTAAGTGAAAAAACTGCTCTATTGTGAATTGTTAATGGGATAGTGGAGAGGGAAATTATTGTTTTCGTATATACATGATTTATATTTTAAATAAATATATATATTACGCACATACCTCGCAAAATTACTCATTTCTTTTGTTATTTGTGTCTAACAGGGTTGCTAAGTAGCTAAAAGGAAATTTTACCCGAGTTGAGCGTTATTTTGTCGGTCGTTTACAAAAAAAAATGCAGCTATTATACCAAAATTGCGTCAAGAAAGATCCTTAAATCTAAATATTCGTTAACTTTTTTATTTAACAGCTCAACAAACAATGTTCATACGCAAACTGCTGGCAAAATGGAGTGGATGGCAATGCCTTCTCGTATGTTCACTTCCAAGTGTATGAGGCGATCATCAGCTATGCCACACGACAACTCCGTTGAGGGTACTTGTAGTGCCGAGAAAAATAGTGCAGTCTTCTTACAGTCCACGGAACATGATGCCTCAATTTGATCCTTCTCTTTGTCACTTTCGCTAGCATTCATCGCACGTAACTCTAAATTTTGGTAGCGCGTTGTAATTGTTGCCATATCCGTTTCGGCAACCAAATTCATTTCTCCACTGGTAGTTGCATAAAAAATTATAGTCGGTGATAGATTCTTTATTTTGTCAATTAGACCTCGTATTAACCTATTGGAGGGCACATTTAACACCAATTTGCAGGTCGGTTTTCGAGGCACTGCATAATTTGGCCAATCGCAACGTGGTATTACATCCACAGGTACATGATGCATGGCGCGGCGCGACTTATCCGAGCTCTTAGTGGTCGCATCCACGTCGACCGTCAAGCAAGGGAATTGTAGATTAGTCAACTTCAGTTTACAATAACATGGATTATTTCGCAGCAAAGAGAGTGCGGTGCCTAAATTTAGAGTTGGTACATTTAGCACAATATGTGGGTCCAGTTCATCGTCCACACCTTGCATTGTGTACTCAGAGAAATATAATTTTGGATCGATTTCTACCCAAACCAATGGTGCTGTGCTGCCAGATTCCTCGTTTGCCACAAAATAAACTTTGTCCATTGAAATCTTCATTACGCATGTTTTCGCCAATTTCGATAGCGTTTGTATGATGTATAGAAATTCTCGCATGTACTCAGGATCCTGCATCATAGCACGAAACTTCATGGTGTTTGTTTATTTACTCTCTCAGTTTTATTAATGTTTGTATGTATTATGGTGCTTTCCGTAGCCTTGGTTCACGATGGCGGCCGTACGTGGGTAATTTTGTTGTTCATAAGAATGGAAAAAAGAAAAACAGAATTCAAAGTTGTTTTGATGCCTCGCTTTCTGTACTATTCTACATTTTTTCATCCTACAATTCTTCGGAGCTTCTACTCCGACCTACAGGTTAGTATTTTTATGAGAATCTGTTTTTCATAAATGAATACACTCGGAGGTTTGTTGTTGCCTGCTGTGGGCGACAGCTATTAGAACGAACTTTTTTGTTTTGATTTTTATTTGTTGATTCAGCAATTTTATTGAGCCTAAGGCCGTTTTTATTGAAATATGGTGTGGAAAAACACCAATAATTAACATATTTTTTGATGTTGGTCGGAAGCTGGGCTTGAACTCAGGATCTACGGAATGGCAATGCGCACTGCTAACCACTACACCACCAGGGCCGCCATTTACTTAATATTAAGTTAATTAATTATTAGGAACTTGGGTTTGGTATTCATAAATGGATATGTAGTACACGTAATCATCTATCTATACATAGTATAAAGGAAAGTCGAGATTTTTTGTACGCGGTAATCTCGAAAACTACTTAACGGATTTTGACGAGATTTTCTCTAATCTATATATCTATATATATAATACGCGAAGAGATTTTTTGTGCAGCATAAAAGATCTGTACCTTTCGCCCGATTTTCAAAAATGAGATGTCAAATTAAAGTGCTTAGTCTGTAGATGTGCAGTAAGGTTTTACTTTTTTGAAAAGAGTTGCCACCTGATAAAAAAATTGTATTCAAATAATTTAATAATCAATGCCATAAGATCCACACCGTTCGTTCGATTTTCAAAAGTGAGGTGTCATATTGAAGGAATTGACCTGTTGATGTGCGACAAGGTTTTATTTTTTCTAAAAGGAGATGCCACCTGTTAAAAAATGTAATTCAAATGATTTAATAAGTTAAAACAATTATTACTTTATGGGTATAAATCGAAATAGGTTTAAAAAGGCATTATTTCATAACTTCGCGTACAAGGGCTGCCACCTGTTTAAAAAATCAAATTCAGTATGAATTAAGGGAATTAGGCATTTGAAGTTGTATGAAATATAACGAAATAGTGCTAAGAAATCTTGATATAGTTTAAACATTAGAATTTTTCTGAGGTTCTGAGGAGGGTAGCCAGCTGTGAAAAATATTAAATTCAAATTATTTAATAAGCTAATTAAATTAATAGAAGATATGAATAAATCAAAATGGGTTCGATAAAGATTTACCCTGAACTGTATTTAGGAGACATGCCACGTGGTTAAAATATCAAATTCAATTTGAATCATTAATTTAATGGAATTTTGTCTCACAACGGAAGAGGTTTAGGACAGAAGAGGTTTAAAAAGATATTAGTTTGAAAATACTTTTAAAGAGGGTTGCCACCTGTTTAAAAAGTCCAAGCTATTTAACTTATATACAAGTTAAATTAAATGTTTAAGGGCCGGTTACTCAATGTCTGGTTAACACTAATCTCCGGCTAAACATAGTTATCGACGTTACCGACTTCCTGTTATATAAATGGAGTTGGATACGTCGATAACAATGTTTAACCGGAGATTAGTGTTAACCAGACATTGAGTAACAGGCCCTTAATATGAGAGTTTTAAGAAAAATTTAGTTTGTAAATATATTTTTGTTAGGGTTACCACTTATTCGAAAAGTACTCTCTTTACTATCCTTACTATCTACATATCGTTAGTATAGTAAGAGGGCGTCTCTTACATCGTCGCTGAAATGCAAAAAACCCACAACTAACTTAAGTGTTTATTGCACAAAACGATAAGGGGTCGTATAATTTCATGAAATGCACCATAATCAATCAAAAAGTTAATTTTGGGTTTTTATTTAGTTACAGTTTTTTGTATTTCAGCGACAATGTGAGTTACACTCTTCCCATACTATACTAACGATATATTAAGTGTGGTCTATATAGTGCCCTTTTTGAATCATGTGTTATTTTGATAGTGACAGCTTTTTCCCGCTGGAAATTTTGACAGAAAGTCAATATCATATCTCAGCAGAACGAAATTTTTTTAGCGGTACAGTGTGTTTTGATGGAATATTTATTAAGGTTTTTGATTAGGGTTTCCCCCTGTTTTAAAAGCTAAATTCAATTTTGGCGTCTTAACGCCATGCGGGTTCACTAGTATACTCTGTATCGACACGGTCAGAACTTATACAACAGCGAAAGATATTTTTTAGCATAGAACGATAACTAATGTATAAATTTGTTTTAACAAAAATACCGAACGCTTTCTTATTTTTATGTACCCAAGAAGATAATTTAGGTAGGGCTAAGTGAATCCATTCTAAGAGGCCTACCCAAGAAAGGCTGAGAAAAGTACTTCCTTGCATGCCTTCTAGAAGGGCTTATTCATTTACAATTTACGCGAATGCATAAATTTATATTATTTAGCATTACAAATGAATTCCATTAAACATTTTATTTGCAGTAACTCATATCTGATATAGACCTTAAGAAAATACTTCAAGGATATATGATTTTTATAAATTAAAGAAGCAATTTTAAAAGAACTCCTCCAAAAGGCCTTCTGAAGAATGTCCTATAAAATCCCTTTTGGAAGGCCTTCCATGGGTACTGAAATCAATTGGAGCCGCTCCATACAAAAAAGAAAGGAGATAGGAATGTAGAGTGGAAGGCCTCTTGACTCTCAGGAAGGCCTTTCGGAAGGGCTTTTAACTCCTGAAATTATCTACTGGGTAACTATCAGTTGAATAAATGTGACGGGTGGGACACTGAAAAGAACTAAATTTTACGGTAATTTCTGCATACTTAGCTCAATATTTGTATTTTTTGGATTATGACACTATAGAAGTAAATGAGCGATATGTTGCATGTATATATCACTGAATCACTCCCATACAAACAAATCGATACTGTGTTTCGATAAGAATTAATTTTAAGACTTGCATCAAAATATTTCCGAACTATATTAAGATTTACGTGAGCTGGTCCGATTTGAAAATACCTCCAAAAATTTAGTTTTTGTGGTTTCAAAAATTGTTTATTAAAGAACTTTTTGAAAAAAATCACCTCAGATGACCCAGCTTTTCAAGTTTTTCTTAAACCAATCTCTGAAATTAGTCAAAAAACAGCATCAAAAATCTCATTATTACGATTCCGTTGAAAAAAATTTTTATGTGGATTTTTTAAGCTTAAACTGTTTGATCATCTGAGGGGATTTTTTTCAAAAAGTTCTTTAAGAAACTATTTTTACTCATTAAAAAACTCCATTTCTGGAGGTATTTTCAAATCGGAAAAACCGCAACTTTTTCTTGTGATGCAGTCTAATGTAAATACTTTTTTATGTGCATATTTAATTACATATATACATATTTATGTACCAGCTTAAAGCTTGATGTCATTATTCGCTATATAAACTTTTATAACCTACACTGCCGGAACAAAGTATTGGCACAGGGAATTTTTCACAGTATATGCAACAATTTTTATTCTAATATTTTTCCGCCAATTTTGTATAAAAATATGGTTCATTCAACAACAAAAGACATAAAAATAAAGTTCCTAAACTTTGTGCAAGACTCGCGAAAATTCAGCAAATTTTCATCAAAATTTTCAACTTTTTAATCAGAATTTTTAGACTTTTTTTGAGTATGCAGTTTTGCCCATTAAATTCTAGTAAAAAAAATGCAAGTTCGGAGTTAGTCAAAAATCGCGTTGATTTTTGAGAATTTTTTTTTGTTGAAGATGTTTTGCATTTTTTCCATATAAAGTATTTTCGAAAAAAAAATTTTGTATGGGGGACTGCGTAAAAAAAATCAACGGTAATTCCTAGCTACTTAAAACGTTCACTTTATTATAATAAAAATGATTGGGCGACAAATCTGCATACCTAAAAAAAATTCTAAAAATCTGATTAAAAAGTTGAAAATTCTCATGAAATTTGCTGAAGTCTCGCGAGTTTTGCACAAAGTTTAGGAATTGTATTTTTATGTTTTTTGTTGTAGAATGAACTATATTTTTATACGAAATTAGCGGAAAAATATTAGAATGAAAGTTGTTGCATATATTGTGAAAATTTGCTGTGCCAGTACTTTGTTCCGGTAGTGTATGTATTTGAGAAAATTTAAACTTCCCATGCCTTCTAAATATACATACACATCGTCGATGTTTTTGCAAAACCGCAAATCTCCCAATTGCAAAACCACCTATCTTACGGCACTCAAATTTTATAGGAGCGAAAAAACAACTTATTCTTTGAAGGCATTGCCTTAATAACACTGGACCACAAATTTCAACTTTTTCTCTTTACCAGAAACGCCGTTATGAAATTCTTATGTAAAATCACCCCCTGATTCCGAAAATCAAGGTTATTTTTAATTCTATGGTACCGTTTTTGAGATATTTGCAATTTACCGTTTTTGCAACAAAAAAAAAAATTGGGTCCACTTTATCATATATATCTCAAGAACGAATTAAGCAATTCCAAAACGGTTTGAAGCTTTTAAAAGGTAATAAAATTTTCTATAAACTGTGCATACAACACTTTTTGCTAGGCCCTGTAGATTCAAAGATAACGAACAATCATTACCGATTTTTTCAATTTTTTTTGTAAAAATATAAAAAAAATTGTACTTTGCGGGGAAGGATCTCGAAAACCTTTTATTTTTTTGCAGATTTTTTTTTTCTCCCTAAGCTCTGTTGTATTACAAAAAAAATAAGCTATCATCGAAGAAAATCGATGCAAAACTACGTAAGTTATAAGCGATCAAATAAAAATACCCAGGTTGCGCAACTTCAATGTATGTACCTATACATACATACATATATTAAAGGTATAAAGTGCAAGTGAGATATTATCCGGATAAACGAATAACACCATAACAATGATAACACTTTTTCTTTAAATAAATCAAATAGTACTTTTAATACTCGAATTGTATTATAGTAGGTAGAGTGGTTGCATCGAAAGGAAGAGTGGTTGGGTTCGAAACCTGCTGTAGGCATGTAGTTATAAACATGTATTTCCGTCAGTTATGGGTAAGTATGCAGGTAGATTTTCAAAATTATAAGACACAGAAAATTTCTAAAGCCTACATCTAAAACAGGTAGTATTTTCTTTTCCCGGCTTGTTATAAAAAGGAACCTTTCTGTCTAGGTAAGATTTGATTTTTTCAATTTTATTCTTGTTCCGAGTATAAATATGAGTTAATGCGCTTTGAAACTTCATAACATCTTCAAGGCTCGCCGGAGATAGTTCAGTTCATAAGTCTAATTTCAAAACCGTGATTTATTAAAAAAAATAAAATGAGTAAAAGGACGCGAGAATTTGAGTGTAATAAGGATCCAGATATGTTCTGTTTCATGTGTGGCCAATATACTATCATAAGGCGACGACGAGTGTTCTCAGATCATATCAAAACTTTATACTCCAAGTATTTTGGAATTGAGCCTAAAAATGCTGAAAAACCATGGACACCGAACACTTTGTGTACATCGTGTCGAGTAGAATTGATTCAGTGGGAATCAGGACAACAAACAAAATTTGATACACCAATGATATGGAGAGAACCTACTTGCCATTCAATAGAGTGTTATATTTGTCAAACAAAAGTACTTGGCGTTGGAAGATCAAGAGGAGTAACCTATGCTAGCGTACCTACAGTGACATTACCAGTACTACATTCAACGGCAGTTGCGGATCCAGTTCCATTGTCAACAGTAACATCTGAGTGCGGGGGATCAAGTTGTACTGAATTTCGCATGGAAAACGAAAGAAACGTTCTGTCACAAGCACAACTTAATGATTGGATAAGAGATTTGGAACTATCCAAGGAAAAGGCCGAGATCCACACTTCTCGTATGCAACAATTTAAATTTGTGTCATCCGATGTTAAGGTGACATATAGTAGAACTCGTCACGAACCATTTTCCAAACACTATACCAAGAAAGACAGTATATGCTACTGCAACGACATCCCTGGTTTATTCAAAGAGTTTGGTCAAACATATGATTCAAAAGAGTGGCGATTGTTCATAGACGGCAATAAACTGAGTTTGAAGGCTGTATTATTGCATATTGGTAACAAAAAGCCTTCTATCCCGATTGCACATGCAGTAAATACAAAGGAAACCTACGAGGAAATGCAAAAAATACTCAAATTTATCAAATATGAAGAGCATGATTGGAAAATATGTTCTGATCTCAAAGTCGTTGCAATGCTATGCGGTCTACAAAGTGGCTACACCAAGCACTGCTGCTTCCTCTGCAAGTGGGATAGCCGAGCTCGTAAGGACCACTACGTCAGAAAGGATTGGCCGGAAAGAGTCGAGTTTACCGTTGGTGTGGATAACATCAAATACACCCCTCTTGTCAAGAAAGAGAAAATCATACTTCCACCCTTACACATCAAGCTCGGTCTCATTAAAAACTTTGTTAAGGCTTTGGACAAAGAAGGCGAAGCATTCGACTATTTGAAAACAGTTTTTCCAGATATTTCTCAAGCCAAGATAAAGGAAGGTATTTTTGTTGGACCACAAATAAGAAAGTTGATCAACAATAATCAATTCAAAGGACTACTCTCATCAGTTGAGGCAGCAGCGTGGGAATCCTTTGAAAAGGTCGTTGCTTCTTTTCTCGGTAGACACAAAAGCCCTAACTACGAGCAGATAGTGAACGACCTAATCAATAATTATGCGAAAATGGGCGTAAATATGTCTTTAAAAATTCACTTTCTCCACTCACATTTGAGCTTTTTTCCGGCAAATCTTGGCGACGAAAGTGATGAACATGGCGAAAGGTTTCATCAGCAAATGAAATTAATTGAGAATCGATATCAAGGATTCTGGGACGTCGCAATGATGGGTGATTACTGCTGGTTTCTCATAAGAGAAACCGATCCTAAACTGAATAAGCGTCAAAGTAGAACACATAATTATTTCGACAACATAGTAAAATCAAATTAAGATAAAGATTGTTAGAATATAGTATAAACATAAATAAATTTAAAAAAAAAGTTAAAAATATGGGTAATTTCATTCATAAATTGAACTTTTAACTCAATAGAAACAGAGCATAGCTAGATATTTCACTCTTCTTTATACCATACATACGTTTTGAGGTATACGTTGAAATTGCGCAACCTGGGTATTTTTATTTGATCGCTTATAACTTACGTAGTTTTGCATCGATTTTCTTCGATGATACCTTATTTTTTTTGTAATATAACAGAGCTTAGGGAGAAAAAAAAAATCTGCAAAAAAATAAAAGGTTTTCGAGATCCTTCCCCGCAAAGTACAATTTTTTTTTATATTTTTACAAAAAAAATTGAAAAATGATTGTTCGTTATCTTTGAATCTACAAGGCCTAGCAAAAAGTGTTGTATGCATAGTTTATAGAAAATTTTATTACCTTTTAAAAGCTTGAAACCGTTTTGGAATTGCTTAATTCGTTCTTGAGATATATATGATTAAGTGGACCCAATTTTTTTTTTTTTTGCAAAAACGGTAAATTGCAAATATCTCAAAAACGGTACCATAAAATTAAAAATAACCTTGATTTTCGGAATCAGGGGGTGATTTTACATACGAATTTCATAACGGCGTCTCTGGTAAATTTTGGCCGTCGACCAGTGTAAGCGGTGTTTTCTCTAGCTACTATTTTATAAATCTGTTGTTTTAATAACGATTTATCGATTTTTATGCATAAATCTCGATGCCTGGAGTTCGGGTTACCAAATCTCATTTTTGCCACAACGGCGATTTAGGCGGGATGGGCGGTTTTGCAAAAACATCGACGATATGTACTTACAGTATCGGTCATATCTATAGCACGCCATTTCAAAGTGATATCGTGTGCAACTTATGTTTATTTATTTATTTTTGGGAATTTTCGATTAAAATACAGTTCTTTCTCGTACAAACCGCATATAAACCCAAGTTTAACAATTTGTAGAAAACTTCAAAAAAATGCAACGAATTTTGACCTAAATTTCAAACTTTTTTCTCGGAAGTGTTTGAATTTTTCTGAATACACAGTTTTATAGCCCAATCAATTTTAGTCTGATAATGTGCAAGTTCCAAGTGACTGAAAGTTACCGTTGATTTTTTAGAATTTTTTTCGCCAAAGGTGTTGCGGTTTTCATACATATACAAATAAATTGAGTTTATTCATTACGGCCCGTCTCCACAGGCAAAAGTTTTTGCCTACCAACTGTCATTTTTATTGCCTGATAAAAATTTTATCAGCGGCAATATTTGTGCGTGGGCATTTTTTATCTTGATAAAAGCATTTATAAGATGGCAATTTTTGCCGGATTTCATCAAATAAAAAGTATGCTATTTCACACCCAAGCAAATAATAACACATATTTTAATAGAAAACAGTTCAATTTTTGCTTTTATATTGAAATATCGATAATGTTGTCTCCACGAAGCTATCGCGCAAATGAAAATGTAGCTGTCAAAGTACCAAATTGCTGGCAATATTTATCAAGATAAAAGCTCTGATAATTATTGCTTGCCAAGAGCAATATGCGGTCTCCTGGGCAAAATTTTGCCTGATAACATTAGTAAGATAAAAACTTTTGCCTGTGGAGACAGCAAGTTATATGGAAGCCAATGCGACAAAAAAAATTCTAAAAAATTAACGGTAATTCGTAGCAACATTATCAGACTAAAATTGCAGTGGCTAAAAAACTGTGTACTCAAAAAAATTCTAACACTTCCGAGAAAAAAGTTTGAAAATTGGGCGAAAATTTGTTGCCATTTTTTAAGTTTTCTTCAAATATTTAAACTTGGGTTTATATGGGGTTTGTTAGAGAAAAAACTGCATTTCAATTGAAAATTCTTAAAAATAAATAAATAAGCATAATTGGCACACAATAGAACTTTGAAATGGCGTGCTATAGATATGACCGATACTGTATGTAGATAATTATTAAACGACAACAAATGTAAAACCCAAAGTGAAAATTAAAGTATGTATTTGTTAATTTACCTGCATTACGAAATGAGAATGACTTGCCTAATAAGGGAGCCAATTTCCAAATAGTGCTAGCTAGCAAGCCACAAAAATATATAAAGAATGTACCTGCATACGTACTTAATAAAATATAATCGCAATCACGTCATAAACTTGCTAAATAGTTTGGCTAGCTTTTTTGTTCCTATCGGTTTTTATTGAGAAAATACTGTGCTCTGTCCAAAAACCCAAACGAACGCAAACGAAAATACATGAAACAAAAGTCAAATGCGAACAGACACGAGCTGGCTGAACAATAAATACAACAGGCACATGGACTTGACACACATGGAGCCAAGACACGCCATTTACGCTGGAGGTTTGCGTTGCAGATCGCCATGAACGCATACCATGCAGCAAAATGGGGGCTGTGTAGCCATATGCAACAGAACTCTTCAAGAGTGTGCAGGAGTAGGAGTGAATATGCAGCATTTTAGGATGATATATACATACATATTATATCAACAGTTAGAAACCTTTTCCAAGGTACTACGCAGTATATAAGACAATAATAAAGAGCTTCCGAGTTATTTGAATAAATTTATGCATATATAATATAAACAATTAGCTAATACAATTTCATGCTAATCTTCCCAAAGGGGGTAAATTAGAAGCGATCCCAATTCACATTAGCACCCAATTTTTAAACGAGTGAAGGGGCGAAAAATCGATACCAAATTGAAACGACCTCGAATGATCTGGAATTTCAACAAATTGTAAAAAAGACCTTAAAAAACTTTAATTTCAGTTCGATTTCGCAATTGCTGAATCATTACTTATAATTTATATGTATATATTTTTGGTGAATAATTTCTTTGCTTTGTAGACATTTTGTTTTAATACGAATGACTGTCTACCTAGCTAGCCAACCGTGCTGCAGTCGTCGTTGTTGCTACACTCTTCGTCCATGTCGCACCTAGGTATCAATGATGAAATAATCTATTTTTCAGCAGGTTTGGGAATTCACCTCAACACCATTAAATCGTTTACATTTTATATTTTTCACAATAACTCACCTTTTTTCTTTGCTTATGACGTACTTTTAAGTATTCTTATACAATTTTTGTTTTAATTTTTTGCTGAAAATCGCACGTCCAATGGACAACACCAAAAATTGATTCCGACAATCACTGCCGATTCAGCGTTGCCAAATGCTTTATAGAAAGTCGACTTCAAATAGAAACAGGTTATCGAAATTTCTGGACCAGATAGCGCCGTGCTGATATTGCCATATTGCTGGCGGCTTTCACATGCTTGCAAATTCCTTAGCGCACTGTCACACGGTCAGTATTTATTGACGTGATCCAAGTATCGCGATATTCATTGACGGTGTAGCGTGCACTATTGATGGATCGTGATCCATATCGCAAAATTTTGAAATCTGGATCCCGGATCGCAATACCGTCAATAAATATTGAACGTGTAGCACTTTCAAAACGCGATCCATACATTTCGTCAGCACATCTTTTACTCTTATAGGGCTCTGCCTTCGGTCTCGGGGCTTAAATTCTTTCAAAACAAATAGAACAAATTTTAATTAACATTGGAAATTTTAAAATAATTGTGGAATGCATTATCTGTAAATTATACGTACAAAATAAAAATATTTTCTTGCGTCATTATAAGCGTTCAGCACAAAAATTATGCAAATACTGACGCGATAAATATAGAACATGTAGCATTCATGCGCGGTCCATCAATCCATCAATATGGATCGCGATCCAATTATAGTGATAATTACTGACCGTGTGACGGAGCCCTTATGTGCAAATAGTACCACTAATCAACACTTATTTGCGTGATTTAGTTATTTGCAAATAAAAAATTAGCTCAGCGTTTATACGGCAAAGTTTATCATTTTGCAAATTGTTATTTGCAAATAATTCGTGCGTATAAACGTAGTAATAGTTGCGTTATAGTCTCCAATCATATACTACGTTTATACGTAAGCTATTTGCAAATAAAAATAATTTGCAAATACTTAACTCACTGTTTATTCGATAGAGAAAAGTTTTTTTTTAATATTTCCTGATTATAAAAAGGCACTTGCACTCATTTACATATAGTAGTACTGTAAGTAGAACATATGTATACTTTGCTAAGAAAATGTCATGCAAGATCTATCCAGCCATATATTGTACTTTTATACATGTTACATTAAGATCAATGGCAACTCTGTTTTGAAGGATGTTCAGTCTTGTAATACAACCCTGTAAATACTTCCGGCCATTACAATGGGGTAAAGCCGATAGCCAACACGTAGTGTTAGAAATAAAATCAAAGGTTTTCTAAGTAATCTAAACCCTAGAAGTTATCATCTCAGGTGTGGACTGCGACAAAATTAAAATGCCACGCACCACTAAAAAACAAGTCGAAAACACGCTTCGGGCAGTAGGAATAACATTCCTACCTACTGCCACATTGGCGCAGTTAATGCGTTTGTGTGACGATATTGTGGGGTCATCGCAAAAAGGCACGGTCGCCCAATGTTCCGTGCGTGCAAGTCAGGAAGACGTTTCGAACCTTGGTGAAGGTGTTGCCGCGAATGCCGAAATCACCGATTTAAGTGGAAACAGCGCCGACGATACTGCTACACGCTCAGAAAACCTTGCCGTATGTACGCAGGCTGCCGATTCAAGTGCTGGGCCCTCCGGCGAAAAATCCGAGACCCCTGTACTGAATTCCAATGACGAAACTGGTGCACTAAATTCCGCGACTTCCGTTATAAATATTACGCTCCCTGATGTAAGTGCCAAGAATTCCGTTACAAGTGCCGACAGTTATGCCGCCAATGCAGAGACCGCTACAAACACACCCGAACTGCCGTTGCTGAGGACGATGCCGCTACTTTAGAAAATGAGCTTCAATTGTTGCGAAAACATCGCGAGATTTTAGAATTGCAACGGGATATTCGTGAGCTGGAAGGAGCAGTCAGCCATAAAGAGCAAAAATCCTGTTTTATGGATATCGAGCATGCAGTGCCGAAATTCAACGGTTGATACANAATACGCACTCATCGAGGAATTTGAAATCGCCGTCAGCCGCCACGACATATATCGAGCGCTAGCAGAGCGACGTTGGAATAAGAGGGAAGAAACATTGCATTCGTACATATTGGCGATGCAATCCATCGCGAAGCAAGGAGGCATTGAAGACATAGAAGTATTAAATTTCATTTTCGATGGTATAAGCGGCAGTGTTGCCAACATAAATTTGCTGATGACTGCGCAAACCTTAAGCGAACTCAAGAGGCTCATCAATCGTTATTACGATCGTTAGTTGAAATTGGATTCAACCATTACCCCTCGCCGTTCGGCAGTTGGTACAGTAAAGCCTTAAATGTCGAATACTGCTGTGAAACAAGCTGCCACTATCGACAAGGAGACANTATCTACTATTTGTATGTTTCACACATATTTCACAGCATGCTTTCGATAAACATCGACTTCACATCACTGCGGTTGTTCTGGCTATTTCACACAATTAACAAGAAAATGATACCTTATTCTTTTGCATAATCAGTCGTGCCCAAACCCCCGGAAGATTTTGAAACCCATGCGAGAGCGATCTGTTGCTGCCGTACACGATTGGAAGAGCTGCTGTGATGAAGTAGAATCATTAAGTTTGGTAAGTATTGCCTTTTCACATAAGTCGGTGAGCAGTGCAGATTTCATAAAATTTTTTCCCCTTTTTGACACCGGCAGTCCAATTAATTTAATAAAGCGGTCGTACGTGCCAGAAGCAAAAATAAATCATTACCCACTGAAAGGCAGATACCGGGGTATTGGAGGACGTGATTTAAATATTATCGGTGACGTTATTTGCACCATTGAATTTAAAAATGTTATTAATGAAATTAAAGTCTATGGCGCATATTCATAGTCATATTTCGTACTCAACTAAGTCGAAACTATTCTAAGTCACAACTAAAGCTATTAATAGTCGCCATAGTTTCGACTTTTCTGGCTAAGTACCAACTTAAAAT